CTATGTGCACCATAGGTGTTTAGGGATTAGCATTAAACTCCAAGAGAGCAGGAAGGATTTAAAGGTCAATTTAATTAGCTTCTTCTAATCTCCAATATTTTCTACTTCTCGCTGGTATTATATTAATATCATTAAATTATAATTCTTAATTTTCAGAAAATGAAAATATTTTTATGCAAGTATGTAACCTATATGCTGGCTTGTATGCTAACAGTTGATATTAAAAGGGCTTTCAACAAAACTAAAGTTTTTTTTTTTTAAAACAGAGATCAAACATATAAAAGTAGGAATGAATAAAATTTTAAACTGAAATTATTAAGCCAAATAATATCTGAAGGGGGAAGAGGGTAATTTGAAATGAAACTGCCATGGCATAGCAGTTCCATAGGCAGTGCAGAATGTGTGTGTGTGTGTGTGTGTGTGTGTGTGTGTGTGTGTGTGTGTGTATGTGTATGTGTATGTGTATGTATATGTATATGTATATGTATATGTATATGTATATGTATATGTATATATAAAAACTAGCTAGAGGTCTAGTTTTACAATGCTCCGTACTACTTACTTGCCTTACTAGAGCTTCACTACACATTTCCAAACCCAAAATATGAATCTGATATTTTAAGGGACATGTGCGTAATTTTTGTCATGTAAATCATTTCTATGGTCTTTGAGAGGCGTATCCAAAAAGCAAACAGGATCTCCTGGAGTTGTAAATTGATTAATCCTCTACAAAGATAAAATGAAGGCACTAAGCCTGAAAGAATGTGGAATATTTTTTAAAAAAATCTAGGTTTCTCCAATTCCAAGCTGAAGTACCACTACAACTCTAGGAGATTCCAGACAGCACTGCTGTTGACCAACCAAGGAATTCTGAGATGTATCACTACAACTGCACAATAACAGAGTAGAGTAGAGTAGGGTAGGGTAGGGTAGGGTAGGGTAGGGTAGGGTAGGGTAGAATTGAGTACAACTGGTACCGGTACCAAGTACCGGTAACCAGTTACCAAGTGCCCAAATTTTGAGCATATGACGATGGGAATGCTGCAATAGTCATAATAGCAATAGCAATAGCATTTAGATTTATATACTGTTTCATAGTGCTTTACAGCCCTCTCTAAGCAGTTTATAGAGTCAGCATGTTGCCCACAACAGTCTGGGTCCTCATTTTACCAACCTCGGAAGGACGGAAGGCTGAGTCAATTTTAAGTGTGAAAACCAGTTGTAAGTCACTTTTTCAGTGCCGTTGTAACTTTGAATGGTCACTAAATGAATGAGGACTACCTATATCATACTAACCTTTTCAATTTGCTTCTTTCCTGATAATTCCCATCACTGTCATCATCCCTAAGGAATGGCAGTTGAAGAAACTAAGTGGCACTGCACTCCTGAAAAACTGCAGGAAGCCAGATTCAGGGGTGCATGGCTAGGAAAGTGATAATATAATAAAACTGGAATTGATCCTGGGTTGTTGTTGTTTTTTGGAAGATTTAAAAATGCTAAAAGACGTCAGTCAATTGTCTGCTTTCACAAAGATGTAATAAGATGCCGAGAAGCAGTTTAGCACACTTGACTTGCAAAATATGCTGAGAATGTGGCCTTTTTAACCCTTTCCTCCCATGAACAAATTTGTTGTTCAGGACTTGAAACGGAATTGCATTCTTGACTTTGAGAGATTAAAAAAATATAATAAAAATACCAGAAGGTAGAATTATCAATACTATGAAAAAAGGCTGAAGAATGACTCTAAATACTGTGACTAACATGCAGATTACCAGGCAAAGCAACTTGTTTCCAAATAATACATTATTTGTAAGCACACTGATTACATCCAGGAAGGCTTTTGCTTGAGAAAGGTCAAAGTCTTGTGCTAATGACTGTCCTAGTTTTATGACAGTGCTCTGACAGCTATTGATTAGGTCCCACAGTAGTCTGAAAATACATTAATCAGCTCAAATCAAAATCACGTAGCCTTTTCAGTTCATGTAAACATTTGAATAATTAACAGTTTGCAACACTTCAGAAAATATATGGATAGAAAACTCAAGAATGCTATTTCAAGTATTTGTGATTACAAATGAACAGAATAAAACTAGGCATGACTTACTTACAATAGATATCCTTCTATAGAAATTAAAAGTGACAATTTGCAGAATTTAAACTATTAAAAAGGAAGCATAAGTTAAAAATATCAGTAGCAGCACTATTCTGCATTTTGTCACTATAAAGTTTCAAGTATTTCAACAAAATGAATTTCCGGTTGAGGGCAATGGCCACAGATTATCATTGAACTGCAATTTAGGAATCCATAATGTCTGGAACAACTTATCAAGAATTATGTATTGATATTCCAAAGACATCTGGGGAAAGCAGTTGTTTTAATTACCGTACATTGACATGGATTATTAAGCAACCTGGGAAATCTGCCATTTTGCTCATATTTGCCCTGCACTGTTCTATGCTAAAAGCATAGCTGACAATTAAATTAGGTTTGGTATTCCCAAGCCACAGTTACTCAAGTATTTAAAATCAGAGTAATCATAAAAAATAGGTATAGAGAAAACCTGAGTGGGAAACCCACCTAGCTCAAAAGCAAAAAGTTCTGATGTCTCTGTTTGAAAAGGGCAGGAGCAGCTGGTGATCAGAAAGACTAATATTGGGTCAAACTGAACAGCAGTAAAGATATAAAGAAAACATCATAAATTCAATTCACTATGTTTGTATAGAAAAGAGTTACCTAAGATAGTATGTTATTGGCGATTTCATAGAGATAATTATTGATATTTATCTGTCACTAACTGAGTGACAGATAAAAGTCCACCTCTGTCCATGCTCTTGCTTTTAATCTTTAATTGTTAATTTTTACCATTTTTGTATTTATGCTTTTATACTATTATAAGCTGCCCAGAGTCACTAAAAAAAAATGAGATGGGCAGCATATAAACAAACAAGCAATGCTTCTTTAAAACATATGCTTTTACAATGCCCTATATACTTACTGTACTACACTTTGGGAGAAAACAGGCTATAGATAGTCCATAACGTATGACCACAATTGAGAGTGGAATTTTGGTGGTTGAGCAATGTGGTTGTTAAAGAAATCATCAACCATTTTTATCATAGTGGTTAAGCAAATCATATGATTGTTAAATGAATCTGGCTGCCGCCACTAATTTTGCTTGTTGGAAGCTGGATGGGAGATTGCAAATTGCAATTATGTAACTGGATGGCACTGCAAGTGGTTGTAAACATAAGTTAATTGTCAAGCCCCCAAATCACAATCATGTGATCAGACGGGTGATGAGATGGTCATAATTTCAAAGACAGTTTTTAAGTCACTTTTTTCAGTGCCATTGTAATTGAACCATAGTTATATTAATGGTGATAAGTGAAGGACTGTCTGTATACAAATGTGACTATGTGACAAAAGATAAAATTTTCAGAGGATAATATTCTCTCTAATTCCATGGTACATGGAATTTAACAATTGGACAATGTAAATGAATTCCCAATGCCCTTACTATGGCATAAAGACTGATACTGCAACACTGGAAAGATAAATGCATGACCCTGTTCATTCAATGGATCGAAGATCTCATTATACTGGCCACCTACTTACAGGTTACCTATAGACATAGACTTTGTATGGATTATCATAACGAATTATGTGACTCATTTATACAAAATAAGGTTAAAAAAGCATGATAGTTACATAAATGTATTAGAAATATATATATTTTCGCATAATAATTGCATTTGCTACATAGAAATGAAATTGTTTACAATTATAACAATATTTCATACTTAAGTTTCTTTTTTTCTGCTGCATTTTTGTCACATTTTAGAAGTATTTGATATGCATTTTTCTTTGATGATGTATGCCTAGCATAAATACTTCATGTTTTCTGTTTTCTTTTTCTGTTATTATTTTAAAAGCATTTTAAAAAAAGATTTAATATAAAAGTAACATTGTAAATTCTGTTCACATGAATTACCTTCTCTCTCAGATTACAAATGAAATCTCCTTTGTCTACAACAAACGACACTGTGTATATCAAATGAAATCTCACTATTCTACCTCCTCCAGAAAGTTTTTCCAACCATGAGATTTGAGGATGAAAGAAAAGTCCAGAGGTAAGGAACCAATGTTTGTTGCATAGATTAAATGTACAAGGGAGTGCAACCTTTTTTAAAAGTCTGAAGTATGTGCAAACAGAGACACTCAATCAGATTTAGAAGATACTTAAGAATCAAGTTTAAGCAAAAGGACTGCAAAAGGAAATGCAAAACTAGGTGGGTTATTTTCATTTATCTTTAGATAACATCTCCAAAAAGATACCATTACTACATATTTTTTTATACGGTCACAAATCCCAATTTATTTGTAAAGACAATTATAAACACAATATGACAAAATCATAGTAATTATCAGATGATATTAGCTAACAATGAAACTAGAGGAAGGGGCAATCCCACTGGTAATTTAAGAATTGCAGAACAAAAGGAGAAAGAGTCTTCTCTGCAACTAAAATGCAAAAAGGGAGGGAGGGAGGGAGGGAAAGTATAAATCATCACATTTTAGTTTCATACCAAAAGTTCACTTCTAACGTATTTGAGAATACTCTGAAATTTACTTCGAAATTCTACGTTTTAACCATACCACTTCCACAATTGAGAGGGACACAATGCCTTCAAATGCTTGAGGCCAACACATTGCACAACAGAGCTGGCTTCTTACCCATGATTTGTTATATGCACTACTTACCTATGACTTGTTATATGCACTTCTCATTAGAACCATAAGGGCTTAGTGAAATACAGAAAGGAAATTTAGAAAACAAACACCCATTAAATAATCTTATATGTCTCACAATTACCAGCTGAGTTTACACCTGGAAATTTGCAGAGATTTACCTTTCATTCCACCTACCTTTTTCCCAGCAGAGTACCTAATCAGACATCTCCCAAATATCAAGACTTATTTAACATGATAACCAGCTTACCTGAAAGTCCTGATCATCAATTCCAAACCTCTCTCGCAAATTACGAAAAACCATTGGACAATATTCTTTGAATTTGAAATGGCTTGGCATGTTTTCTCTGAAAAAGAGATTTGATACTCAGTAAGGAATTGTACATAGAGGTAGTCCTTAACTTGCAGCTATTTGTTTATTGGCCATTTGAAGATATGATGGTGCTGAAAGAATTATTTACAATCAGTTCTCGCACTTGTGACTGTCACAGCATTCCTGGGTCACATAATCAGAATCCTGATGCTGCCAATTGGCATGTATATAGGATGGTTGCAGTATCTCAGGGACACATGGTTACCAATTCCAACTTTTCCAGCTGGCTTCCAACAAATTCAATGGGAGAAACTCATTTGCTTAATGATTGTAGCAAAAAAGTTGGCAAATTAGGCAGGACTCAGTTGACAACTGCATTATTTAATGATGAAAGCCCTATTCATCTGTGTGTACCTCTAATCAAATCAATGTTTATTTTTCATACACCAGTCTCCAGAGCATGGCTTGATTCGTTTGTTGAAAACTAATTTAAAGTTAACAATATTTCATACCATTCTTTTAGAAGATCACATGACACAATCAGGGGTGAGCTGCTGAGTGTTTGGGAGACCCTCTAGCAGGGGTAAAATGCTCCCAGTTCGGATCGGATCGCCGGATTCGGTAGCGATGGAGGCGAGTGGTTCGGAGAACCAGTAGCAAAAATCCCTGCCCCCCCACCATGCCCACGATCTGAGCTGAGCCACACAATCATCAGAGGCTTTTTTTTTTTTACTTTTAAAAGCAATTTTTCTACAATCTCTTCCGATGAAAAAAAGCTTTTAAAAGTAAAAAAAAAAAAAAAAAGCCTCTGATGATCGTGCAGCTCAGCTGGGATCATCAGAGGCTTTTCAAAGCATTTTTTTCTGCAACCTCTTGGCCGAAGAAGTGGTAAAAAAAAATGCTTTGAAAAGTCTCTGACAATCCCAGCTGAGTTCCCTGATCGGCAGAGAGGCTTTTCAAAGCATTAGAAAAAATGCTTTGAAAAGTTAAAAAAAAAAAATTGGCCACACCCACCCAGTCACATTGCCCACTACCACCTCCAAGCCACGCCCACAGAACTAATACTAACAAATTTTGCATTTCACCCCTGCCCTCTACCTAAGATCATGTGCAGTTCGGAGAACCCCCAAATCCCACTCCTGGCTGGCTCCGCCCATCCTGCCCTTCCCCTCCCAGGAGTCCCCACTGGCTTGTTTTGGATGCAGGTAAGTGCGGGGCATGCCTGGAGGCTCGGGGAGGTAAAAAAACGGGCCTACCGGAAGTTTGGGAAAGCCAGAAATGGGCATGTTTTTGGCCTCCAGAGGGCCTCCGGAACCTGGGGAGGACATTTTCGCCCTTCCGGAGGCTTAACGAAAACCTCCAGAACCTGGGAAGGGCAAAACGTCCCCCCATCGCAGTGCAGGCGGCCGACTAGACCATGCCCACCATGGCCATGCCCACCCAGGAACCGGGCAGAGAACCCCTTGCTAAAATTTTTGAAGCCGACCCCTGGACATAATTCAATAATCAACTAATCCTTTCTGCTCCCCCCAAAACCTGGTATTCTGTCAAGTGATCCCCTTCTACAGAGCCTTTAAGAATATACAGCTCCAAGCAATGGCCGTCTGTCTGACCCCTAAACTGGCCTAATTAAATTTTGAATCCTTATATTCTCTTTTGTACAAAGGTTCCTGTAAGGCAGAGTCCCCAACCCCCAGGCCACAGGCCACTACTGGGCCTCTCTCCCCCTGCACAACCAAACCGGAAATGTTTGGGATTGTTGCTTTAAGGCTGTGACGGTGAACCTGTGGCATGTGTGCAGGAAGTGGCACACAGAGCCATCTCTACGGGCATGTGAGCCATTGCCCATTGCTCTTCTGGGTTCCGACACACCGGCCAGCTGGTCTTCACACACAAGGGAACACCAGAAACCTGAAAAGCAGCCGCCCGGTGCAGATGCATGTCCCGGGAAGATGCTCTTACGGTTTCCTTCCTGGACTTCCGATTTCTGGTGTGCATGCACACGTGAAGACCAGCTGGCCAATATGCATGCCTGCACCGGAAACCAGAAGATCATCTTCCCGGTGCACGCATGTGCACTGGGCGGCTGTTCTTCCGGTTTCTGATGTGCGCATGTGCACTGGCCAGCTGGTCTTTGCTCACACATGCATGCCAGAAACCGCAAGACCAGGTGCCCAGAAACCAGATCATCATCTTCCCGGCACACGCATATGCACTGGGTGGCTGCTATTCTGGTTTCTGGCACACGCGCATGCTCCCGTTTTGCCACTCGGTGCTGAGTGGTTCACCAACGCTGCTCTAAGATATTCTCCTCATCCTTGAGTTTAAAACTCCATTAATTATTATTGATACTGCTAGCCATTTATCTAAACAAGTGAGAATAAAATTCTCTATGTATACCAGGTGGCATTGGTCTGAATGTGTTATAAAAGGAAGAATGCAAATGTTAAAAAACAAAATTTCAACTTTATTGGGAGAAAGCAGAGACCAGTACCATGGTTTCAAGTAAGACACACTTAAATTGCAAAGCTGTGCTGACTAAAGTCATAATACACCCCTGGGTCTCCCTCCTGCATTACTAGAGGTGGCAAAATAGAGTTGACCCGGTAGCTATCCAGTTCCACCTCTAATATAGCCCAAGATTCTTAAAGAAAAATGTAAAATTGTGATAGATAATCAAAGAAGGGTTGGTCTTTTGATGGTGCAAACCAGCCAGGAATATTCCAAGTTAACAAGGAAATTGCATCATCACTCAAGAACAGTCAAATGGCTTGATTTTTATTTTGGCAGGCCAATGACCTGAGATTGTTGTGTTGAACTGAATAACCAGTGGGAAACAACCAGGCTTCCTCTAAACATTGGCTTGTCTCATGCAAATTCTGTAACTATTCCAGGGAATTTTGCTCTGAGAAAATGAAATTAGTACAGTCCAATAGATTTTATGTTGTAGGGTCTTCAGCAATACTGCATGAAGGCTTGGTAGTTCTTGCTATATTCTGCTCTGTACAATTGAATCAGCAAGAGGTCTGCCTCTAGCCTCTTGCTTGTTACTAATTGACCCAATTGCATGTCTTGGTGTGTTTGAGAACTCCTCAGCTAAAATGGAGCCCCTGGGTAAGCCCAAGAATCCCTACTGGTTCATAAGGATCTGTGGAGCTATGGATTGGGAGATAATATCCAGCCATTCCATTCTCCACTCAGGGGAGACAGTAGCTATAATTAGAGAAACAAGGCCTACCAAAGGTTAAGGAGCTAAAATTATTGATAAGCCCAGCTTTAGTTATATCTGGAGAGTGTTTATTTAGTAAATCTGACTCCTATGGTCTTGCTTTATCAAATTTGAGGGTGGTGCAGTGGCTGCCTTGGAGGCATCAGGGAACTGACTTGAGATGATTGTTTGATATAGTTGACATAGAATTGAATAGAGATTAATCTTTTCGTTACAAAGGACTCCATGGATAATATTTGAATGTGCTTTCATCTTAAATAATGGGGTGGTGTGGTAGATTGTTTGAAACGTTGAAGAATCCACTTAAGGTTTAAGACACTTGGGAGTTATTTAACAGCACACAGATCTATCTGGCTGTTTTGACTATGAAGAAGTTGGCCTAGAGAAATTACTATTGCTCTCCCTAGAATTCCAGGTCTGCTATTTTAGCTATTAAAAAAAACGCTGAGAATGATTTATCATGTCCGCTATAAACAGTTTGAACTAGAAATATTCTTCTGTTGCAGCTGGGGAGCTTCAACTTGTGTGAAGCCCATCCTCTTCCATTTTGTCAAGTTTTACAGTGATATTACAGTAAACATTTGGGTACTATAACATTTTCTCAGATTATTTTACATTTAATTAGTTGTTCTTTAACGGCACACATGCCTTGGATAACAACATTAGATGGACCAATTGTATCAGCCTTAATAGGCATGAAAAGTCCAGTTTTATGCTTTTGAATATAAGCCTCGACATTATATTTCAGTATTTCCTCTCCATGTTTTATAGCTCAGAGATGCTCGAATATTATGATCACAATTTGAGTTGTGAATAGGTATTGGGTTTGCCATGAACTCTACCAAATTTTCTCAGGGAGCCTTATTTTGGTTTTTATTTTTAAACTCGTTTTATTTCCCCTGAGACTAGTCACAATAAGAGTCCATGAGGGAGTCCAGATTCCCATTTAGTTCTTCCCTAACAGATAAGGAATGCTGTTGTCTAACAGCTGTTGTTTTTCTATTTCTGTTTGAAGATCCCATTCTAAGATATCAGATTTGTTTGAAATAAAAGGAACATTTGTTTACTTAAAAGATCCTTTTCTTGCAAAATGTTCTTTTATCTGTGGTTGTTTGGCTGATTTCTGTAAAGGGAGGGAGCTGGGCTCTCATATCATTTCTTTTTCCCATATCATTCAAGTCCACAATAAGTCCTTTATCTGCGCCTTTGCCTTCACATTCATCTCATATGAACAGTATAACTTGAATTAAAGAGAAAGTCCCTATAAAAATTGCTAAAAACTAATAATACAGTTAAACGGGAAGGGGCTATAAGAAAACATGTTACTGGGCTGATAACTCTGTGTCCCTCAGTCCCAATTATGGTTGTAAATTGAAGATTACCTATAGCAGTGTTGGTGAACCTTTTTGGCACCGAGTACATGCGTGTGCCGGGAAGATGATCTTCCGGTTTCCGGAGCGTGCATGCACACTGGCCAGCTTGTCTTTTGTGTGCGCATGCACACCAGAAACAAGAAGATCATCTTCCCGGGGCACGCATCCGCACTGGCGGCTGCTCTTCTGCTTTCTGGTGCTCCTGCACGCATGAAGACCAGCTGGCCAGCGCACCAGAACCCGGAAGAGCAACAGGCACGTGCCCGGAGAGATGGCTCTGCATGCCACTTCCAGCACGCGTGCCATAGGTTCGGCATCACAGATGAATAGTGATTAACATATAGCCATATTCTTTCATATCTTTCAGATCAAGGATACACCCAAATACAATTGTAATTATTATAACTTAGAAGCTTGCAAAATTGTTGTATCCCAAAGACCTTTGCACTACAATTCCAAATGTCACATTTTGCTCAATTTGATGACAATTTTCAGTCAGGCAAAAATAAATTATTCTCAGAGATCTGTACAAAGGAGTGTCAGATGATATGGAGACATTAATGGAAGAATTGGAATAAATCGCTATGCAGGTGGAGATCTCTTCTTTTCAAGAGTCAATATAGTCAGACAAAATGAATTCTAGATATTCAGTGGCATAAATTAGCACAAAATTTCAAAACTTTAAGAGCACAAAGAACTGGATTACAGAATACTCAGAATGATTCGCAATCAAGTTATTAAAGCAAACATCTCTTTTTTAAAGTTTACATGAGTATCTGTTTCAAAGAGGTTCAGTGCTCACACTGTAGTATGTTCCAAAACATTTATTTGGAATTATTCTTGAAGTGTGCATAGTCCTATTATGCATTTCTGCTCTGCTAGTCAAGCAATTCTCCATAAATGGCAGAATCTGCATCTAACTTCAGAATAATATTTTCTTCCATTCCATAGACATAAGTCTCTGATATGACTTGCAGAATTCAGCTCTAATCAGTCTTTCAGCCTTTATTACAGTAACACTAATCCAATATTAATATATACAACATTGAATTGTTCTCAATAGAATATTCCACTTGTGCAGTTCCGATTCTAATAGTTGTGTGCATATGGAATACATCATCCCAGTGTTTCTATTTCCTAAATACTTCCAGAAGTAACCTGTATTTGATTTAACAAATCCTCAATAGCTTTTTTGTTAAGTAATAGATAAGTAATTTGACTTAGCAAATTTTCAATAGGTATAACAATCAATTTTTACATTAGCCAGAACTTTCCAAACTACAGAATTATCAAACATTAACAGCAGTTTACCTCTACCTCTTAGAATATTTTAAAATGAATTAATAGCACCCTTTTAAACTCATGTAAACATCAAGTCCAAACTGTAGAACTATACTCAGAAGCACTATTAGTTGTTGCATACTAATGGAGACTCTCTTAGACCTGAACTGAAATTCTGTGGAAATTTAGCTTGGAAGCAACCTTTTGGAGAAGTGATAACTTTCTAGGACAGTGATGGCTAACCTTTTCTGGACCGAGAGTGTGTGTGTGCAAATCCCCAAAATGCAATATGTGCGCATCCCCCATGCATGTGCCCCACCCTCCTGCATGCATGCATGGGCCCCACATGTGCCACATCCCCGTCCATGCGCGCACAGGCCCCCACATGTACTGCACCCCTGCGCATACACGGCAGAGACCCAACGACCAACTGGCCAGTGGGAGGCATGCACACATGCGCGGTGGAGCTGAACTGGGGCGACGCACCAGTGATGCACAGAGAGGGCGTTGCATGCCACTTGTGGCACATGTGCCATAGGTTCGCCATCACGGTTCTAGGACATCAGGCCTACAAAGGAGGGCAGGCACATTGCTTCCTTCATCCCTTTGGAATTCATCCTCTTCCACCTTTCAATTTCTTTTGGGATCCAAGTAGAAAAAAATATAATGAAAAACCAACTCCACAATAGAACTGCTGATGTTCTTAACATATTTTTAAAAACCTAGCTCAGAGAATCAAAATTAAGTAAAAATGTAGTTATTTCAATTGAAAAATATAAAACAAAACAGAAGTTGGCCTAACTTACTTATTGAAAAGGTGGTTGTCCACTTTTATCTTTGAATATGCTTTGAAGTCATCTGGCATCAGCATAATAGGGATTTGAACATGGCTCAGTTCATTGATCTACAAAGAAGACAAAAAGGAAATTAAAAAAAAAGAATTGAAATATGAGAAGAAATTAATTTCTTCCTGCCTCAGTTGGGAAACATGAAGACCTCCAGATGTTGACTTTCTAACCATCATGAATACTAGTCATATTTTACAGAACACACAATTCATGAAATCCTTCAGCTTAAAACAAACCAATTACAGAGAATATGTGAAAATTATTCTATAGTTGATGTGCTAGAACTATAAACTGTAAAATAGATTTATCACAGGTTAGAAATCAGATTTTCCAAAAAATACTGCAGAAGTTTAAACCACAAGGAAAGTATGAAGTATTAATATTATATTTATTAGCATATTTTTTCATGTCTGAATTAAATTTGAATTTGTTGTGTTCATCTATGGCTGTTTTATATACCGTTTAGTATTTTCTTCTAATAATAAAATTCCCTCCACATACACAATGCTTTTTTTCAGCAATTATTAAATTACAGATAGCAGTACTTACTACAGGGAGACAACATAGAATTTAAAACAATGGAGACAGGCACAGCAAGGCAATCTCTTGACTTGTCTTTGTTCTCAGGCAATGTTCAAAAGCAATGCCTCTTTAATTTAAGAATATCAAACAGAAAATAGAAAAAGAATCAATTGTTTCCAGATTTTGGTGACTGGCTTCAAGGAATCAGCTACTATTGAGGCTTTCTGCGCCAAAAGGAAAAAATGGTTTAGCATCATCTGCTACTCACAGAATCAAATAGCATGAAAACAATACTTGACGTGTAATAACAGTGACACAAATTAAAATGAATGATTTCATCAGAAAGAAGACCCTCACATTTTTGCAAGGAAAAGGCTTATACAATAAATCCATGCTTTTTCTAGTGGAAAGTTGTTTTATAAAAGTATAAAGAACAACCATTGTTCAAGTTAAAAAAACACAACATCTAGAGCTCACATCATGCAGTTAGTTCCTGTGAAATTAAACCATCAGGTAGCATCTGAAAGGCTTTTGCTAAAACCTTAGATAGCTGCCAATGACTCACACCATATGAAGCAATTTAAAGCTGTCTAAAGTCTGTAATATCTTGGATGTATCTGAATGATTACAAGTCTTGTGATAGATGAACCTTTTGCTAGTCAGCTAACTAAGATATGTAGAAAGCATGTCACAATAATAATGGGGGAATATTAAAGGAAAAAAAAAATAGATCCAGGAAACTACAGACCTGTCAGCCTGACCTCAATACCAGGGAAGACTTTGAAAAAGATAATCAAGCAATGAATCAGCGAACACCTAGAAGCAAACAAAGTAATAACCAAAAGCCAACATGGGTTTCTCAAAAACAGATCATGCCAGACTAAGCTTATTGCATTCTTTGACAAAGTGACAAAATTAGTGGACCAGAGGAAAGCTTACTTGGACTTCAGTAAGGCATTTGACAATGTAGACCATAACCTACTACTAGATAAAGAAGAAAAATATGGGTTAGACAGCATCACCACTAGATAGATTTGTAACTGGCTGATCAACCGCACTCAATGTGTAGTCCTCTATGGAACTGCATCTACATGGAGGGAAGTATGCAGTGGAGTACCCCAAGGCTCTGTTTTAGGCCCAGTACTCTTCAACATCTTCATCAATGATTTGGAAGAGGGGACAGATGGGGAACTCATCAAATTTGCAGATGCAGATGGTGGAATAGCCAACACTCCAGAAGATAGGCTCAAGATACAGAAGGATCTTGACAGACTTGAACATTGGGCACTATCTAACAAAATGAAATTCAGCAGTGAAAAAAGCAAGGTTCTACATCTAGGGAAGAAAAACAAAATGCACAGGTACCATATATGTGGTAGCTTGCTCAATAGTAGTAACTATGAGAGGGATCTTGGAGTCCTAGTGGACAACCATTTAGATATGAGCCAGTAGGGTGCAGCAGCTGCCAAAAAAGCCAACACAATTCTGGGCTGCATAAACAGAGGGATAGAATCAAGATCACGTGAAGTGTTAATACCACTTTATAATGCCTTGGTAAGGCCACACTTGGAATACTACATTCAGTTTTAGTCGCCACGATGTAAAAAAGATGTGGAAACTCTACAAAGGGTGCAGAGAAGAGCAACAAAGATGATTAGGGGACTGGGGGCTAAAACACACGAAGAACGGTTGCAGGAACTGGGTATGTCTAGTTTAATGAAAAGAAGAACTAGGGGAGACATGATAGCAGTGTTCCAATATCTCAGGAGCTGCCACAAAAAAGAGGGAGTCAAGCTATTCTCCAAAGCACCTGCGGGCAGGACAAGAAACAATGGATGGAAACTAATAAAGGAGAGAAGCAATTTAGAACTAAGGAGAAATTTCGTGATAGAACAATTAATCAGTGGAACAACTTGCCTCCAGAAGTTGTAAATGCTCCAACACTGGAAGTTTTTAAGAAGAGATTGGATAACCATTTGTCTGAAGTGATGTAGCGTTTCCCACCTAAGGAGGGTTGGACTAGAAGACCTTCAAGGCCCCTTCCAACTCTTGTTATTGTTCTATTCTTTACTTTAAAAACTCTTTAAAGATTCCTTTGCTTAATCCCAAAATTATTAAATGGTATCTTTTTAGAATTATAATAGTTTTTGGTGGAGACAATCTGCTATGACATGTGGGCTTATCTTCTGGAATATATATTCAGATGTCGTAACGTATTTCCATATTAGACATAATAACTTCAGCATTAGAGAGATAGAATATCTATTTTTTTATATTTGAAACATAAATTAAGATTCATATTTAAAAATAATTTAAGATTCATATCCAAGGGCCAAAATTCCATAAAATGATGAAATACACATTGTGATATCATGATGCAAACCCCATTCTTTTTTTACATGTGTCTGCCATTGTAATACATATACAAACAGGTGTATGTTTGTTTCATGACGCACCTTCATCTAGGCCAGGGGTGTCAAGGCCTAGGGGTCGGATCCAGCTTACGGGGTGCTTAGATCTGGCCCCTGGTGCTGCCTTGGAAACAGCAAAGGATTGGTCTGCAGTGCCTCTGCCAGCGAAAACGGAGCTCGGGAGGGGGTCCTCCCAAACTCCATTTTCACTGGCAGAGGGTTAGTAAGTAACACCCCCAACGAAAGAAGACTCCAAGGCTAGAAGTTCCTCAAAGTTCCATTTTATTAGAGATGTCATATTGGCACATTTGGGAAAACCCAAATCTGAAAGCTTCCAGGTTTTCCCCACCCAAAGGAAAGTCTAAATCCTTGTCCCAGCACCCACGTCCATCACATGGCCCAACCAATGCACCATCCCAACTGGAGATGCCTCCCAGTCACACCACTCCAGGTGCAGGGCAGGATGTCCTTGATTCTCAGAGAAAGGAATGTTGTTAAGGCTAGATTTCTCCCCTACTCCATACAATCTCCCCTCCTAATTTCCCACAACACTAAATGTGGCAGGCCTGAAGATCCAATGTAAAAGACAGGCTGTCCCCCCTCAATTGATGATCGTGTCCTGCAACGAGAGGAACATAGGGGTTAAACCAATATTCCCTAACCACCTCTCTCCTCCCTCCCCCCAGGGGACCCTTTGGCTTATCGGGGTATTTATCATGGAATTGCTTCACTAGTCTGTCTGCTTTAACATCCCAGCTTTTAACCTAGGCTGCTTCAGACAAAGGGTACCCTTTCCAATGAACTAAATATTGCAATTGACCTCTATACAATCTAGAGTTAAAATATAAAGTTAAAATTCTTTTAACTTTATAATGGGTTTCCCCTTGCACCACTATAGGTTTGGGAGCTGGTCGGGTCTGCGGTCTCAATCTTGACCCGATCGCTGGCTTTAGCAGACTACAATGAAAGACAGGGTGCACATTCCCTAGAACAGTGGCTCTCAACCTTCCTAATGCCGCAGCCCTTTAATACAGTTCCTCATGTTGTGGTGACCCCCAACAATAAAATTATTCCTAAAACCATTGAAAATATGTGTTTTCTGATGGTCTTAGGCGACCCCTGTGAAAGGGTCGTTCGACTCCCAAAGGGGTCCCGACCCACAGGTTGAGAACCACTGCCCTAGAATGTGAAGGAGGCTAAACTGAACTGTCACTGGCTTAATTACTTTCATTATTGGGAAAGGACTTAAAAACTTAGGTTCCAGCTTTTTACTGGGTAACTTCACTTTTATGTATTTGGTTGATAGATAAACTTGATCTCCCACACTGAAGAGGGGTTGAAGAGATCGGTGTTTGTCAGCTTGTTTTTTATACACCTCAGCGACTTCTGCCAGTGCTTTTTTGGTGTTTTCCCATCCCTTCTTCAGAGATTCCATTGTTGTGGTCCGCCAGGGGCCTGCAGAGCTGGCAGCAGAGTCGGACATGAGGAGGTTGGGAAGGAACATGGGCCAGTTCGGAGTCTGGGGAAGGCTTGGAAGTGCTGGAGGCAGAGAAAGGGCTATCTGGAAGGTACGTGCTGCCTCTGGAGCTTCCAGAGTCAGACCTCAGCGAGGCAGAGGAACAGGGGGAGCCTGTTCCCAGTGCACGCATGTGCAGGGCTGCCAGAAGGCAAGAACAGTTAAAACAAAAGCGACGATTTGGGAGTAGGGCTTGGAGATGATTGGCCCCTCCCATAAAACTTAAAGGAGGATAAAGGCATGTGGGCAACAAAGGCAACATTGTTAATTCTGTTCAGTTTAAAGTCTGAAGCTCTGTTTGATTCTGGACTCCGTGTGGCTTTTCCAATTAGGTCTTTGGCAGCCTGTCAAGGGAGATAAAGGTGGGTGATTATCAGCTTTATCCAGAAGGACTCTTTACAACTATTTGGGACTCATCTGTGAATGAACAGAATTCACAGCCATTGAAATTAAAGAGGTTTTTGGGACTACTCGTGTGTTTTACTGACTACGGAAGTCTAGGTCAGAACATCCATACACTCGGTCAGAGACATGGAAGAAAGTGGTTCTCTGGGCAGTTTGGGCATGGGGACAAAGTCCATGCCGCTGGTCACCTGGAAGGAAGTTA